AAAAAAAATCTTCCTTTTCCTTCTTTGGAATATATGCTAATGTGAACAAAGGTTTCTTCCATGGCAAATAAAGACTTAAATTACCAGTGTCTTCAGTTCCTTACCAATGGCCAGTGCAACAAGAGTAGGGGTTAAGAGGAATACCTGTTTCTGCCTTATCCTAAGAATATCTCAATAGTCCTCTCTTCCCTAATTCTATGTTCCTAACTTTCCGACAACAAATATAGGGTTCTCAAAGTTTCTTAATGAATCTAATAACAAAATAAGAATAAAAGCTGGGCGTTTAGTTTTTTACTAACGTGATTACATCATAAACCTGAACTGGGGGAAAAAAAATAAAATTCTAAACTTCATTTCAATAATTTTAGAAAGTCCTGTGTCATATTCTATCCTCCTCTTTCTTTTATCCACCCCTAATGAAGACTTATAGTCCATAAGTCTGCTTATATAATGGAGTATTCTTTTGCTAAACTAAGAGGAGACTCACACAGAATAATGACAGTTTCTGAGGATTCTGAGGACTCTGATACATTCTGGTGTAGGGAGGTATGTATAAGCTAGTTTTATAGATTTTTTTTATAGATTTATCAACTAGAAAGAAGGAAGGAAATTGCATAATTTCTATATTTATGGAAGAAACTTCATGGCTAGCATATTTCTTAGACTTCAGAATTCTACAGGCTAGTAAAAAAAATTTTTTTTAAATTGGGGAACCAGCATAATATCCCCTACTTTCAATTGTCTGCACAGGAATAATTTAACATAGTAGACCTTAGGCTGTTATCTTCAGACAGGGCTACTTGCAATGTTGGCCCTTGGCTGGCATCAGGAACTTAGCTTTTGAAAACCAAAGTTATGCCGTAAACCTGAACTGGAAAAAAAAAAAGTGATAAGGTTGTGACTGCTGTGCCAGCCTACTTAGATTGTACAATGAGATTTATGATAAACACCTTTCCTTCTGAGAGTCTGGCATTATGAGGGTACCTATGTGACCATCCCTCAAGTTAAAAAACACCCTGAACTCTAAATTTCAGATGGAGTTCCCTAGGCACTGCACACACGTGAGTGAATTTTTGAACCTACAGAAAAGCTATTAATACATAGGAAAACTGAATATGGATTCCTTTAGACTCTTCCTGATGTCTTTTTCCACTAATAATCTAGCTATGTATCTTTATCATGTAGCTGTAATAAATCTCAGCTATAAGTAGATTGTATGCTGAGTCCTATGAGTCCTTCTGGAGAATCCCAGAACGTGTGGGTGGAATTGGGGACCTCTGAAACAGTACTAGGTAATAGTATTAAACGAGGATGCAAATAACCCTACAATCATCATTTTTCAAAAGTGTACGTTAAAAAAATTCTGTTCTTTGATTGTATAGAAACATGCCTTCTATCAGAATAGAAGGCAGAATTTTATTTATTATTTTATTTATTTATTTTTTTGAGACAGAGTCTTGCTCTGTTGCCCGGGCTAGAGTGCCATGAGGTCAGCCTAGCTCACAGCAACCTCAAACTCCTGGGCTCAAGCAATCCTACTGCCTCAGCCTCCCGAGTAGCTGGGACTACAGGCATGTGCTACCATGCCTGGCTCATTTTTTCTATACATATATTTTTAGTTGTCCAGCTAATTTCTTTCTATTTTTTTAGTAGAGATGGGGTCTCGCTCTTGCTCAGGCTGGTCTCGAACTCCTGAGCTCAAACAATCCACTCGCCTCAGCCTCCCAGAGTGCTAGGATTACAGGCGTGAGCCACCATGCCCGGCTGAAGGCAGAATTTTAAATGGAATAAATTTAGCATTATGAGAAGTTCATTACATTATCTTTATTCTTCCATTTTGCTGCAGATCAGCGAAAACCTCATTATGGACGACCAATAACAGAAATGTGCTTAGGAACTACTAGGTTAAATAATTTTTGCCTGGATATACCTTTCCTCCAATTTATTTTCTTTAGAAACTAAAAGTACTAAAAGAAATGCTGTGTGTACAGGGATAATTTTAAAAGCTGGAACTTTTAGTAAGTCATTAAAGATTTCGCTGAAATAGTCTAATTTTAACTGTCATAAAGAATGGGAGACTATTGTAAATTAATTAAAAAGATGACAAATAAAAATATCAAATTTCATCCATTAACATACCCCTGTGTTTCAGTAATTACAGTTCTTCAAGGCAGTTTCTAACAATGTAATATTTTTCAGTTGTAAAAGGCCCTCAAATTCTATTCACCAGGATAAAGAATTTCTTTCAAAACCAGAACCACACACCTTTTGCTGTAGTTCTTTTACTGCAGAATCTCTATCCATGCATGCCTGTCGGAAGGCTTCATATGCTTTATTGAGTTGCTCACCAATGTTTTTATCCATTCCTCTTCGTCCTGTAGCATTACTATAAAGGATGGAGTAAAAGACAGGTCTGGAAAATAATCAGAACAATTTAGATAGTTATTAAGTTATATAAATCTCATTTTAAAAATGCATCTTAAAGACATTTCTGTAAGGTTTATTATAAACATTATAGCATCAAGTACTATAAAGGTTTATCACAGGGCGGGCACAATGGCTCACACCTATAATGCTAGCACTCTGGGAGGCTGAGGTGGGAGGATTGCTTGAGTTCAGAAGTTTGAGAACAGCCTGAACAAGAGAGGGACCCCGTCTCTACAAAAAATAGAAAAATTAGCTGGCCACGGTGGCATGCACCTGTAGTCTCAGCTACTTTTGGGACGCTGAGGCAGGAGGATCACTTGAGCCCAGGCGTTTGAGGTTGCAGTAAGCTCTGATGACGCCACTGCACTCTAGCCAGGGTGACAGAGTGAGACAAGACTCTGTTACCAAAAAAAAAAAAAAAGTTTATTATACAGGCATAAAAGTTTCATCTAAAATCCTGACTAGAAATATTATCAAACTTTGACTTCTATAATTTTTAAATATTCTTTACTAATGTGCAAGGAACAAGTGTGTTCCACTTCAAAAAGATGCTACTTCATAGAAATCTATAAATATAACTTAAAAATGGAGAAATGTAAAAGACCATTTTATTATTAATGTCTTATTATGAAATGTACAACAGGATTGCTAATGTGGGAGGGATTTCTTTTTACTAAATGGACGCTTACTCCCATTTACAAGGTGAATTCTTGCTACAGTGAAATTAGAGCAAAATTAAATAGATAGTAAGTGTTTGTGGATGGAGTTCACACTGTTGTTATCATGGAGCAATTAAAATGTGTGAAAATGCTCTTATTTTAGCACAAAATCTAAGGAGAGCTGCTGGTGGATTATACATTAAAAAAGAAAAATCACATCCTTTCAGTCCTACCCCCACTGCCTATTAGTTTTCCAACTTTCCTGCTGTTTCTGAGTACAGGTTTGCTCAGCGGAGGTAATCTGGTTTTCTCATCTCAGTTTGCACAACATCTCTAACCACATTCCTTGGCTCTGAGCAGATGGTTAACTAATGACGCTGATTCTTCATGTCCGGCTGTAAAAACCATAACCCAGGACCTTTCTCTTAATCCTCTAAAAGCTAAGAAACAAAGTTCTCTATTGGTTCTAGGAGTACCAAGTTATTTCACTGTTTTGGAAATCATTCATAATTTCAGTCTCTAATCTGTCATAATATCTTTCATTTTATCTTTGGGCACACAATTTTTTTTTTAATTTTTAGCATTTCCAATTGAGATATAATTCATATAACATAAAATCCACTATTTTAAAGTACATACTTCAGTACTTTTTAGAATATTCATTATGTCATGCAACCATCACTATTACCTAATTCCAGAACATTTTTATCATCCTCCAAAAAACTCCGTACCTATTAAAAGTTAGTCCCAATTCTCCTCTCCCTCCATCTTCTGGCAACCACTAATCTGTTTTCTGTCTCTATGGATTTGCCTATTTTTGACTTTTCATATAAATGGAATCATACAATGGAATCATACAATATATGGTTTTTATGTCTGGCTTCTTTCATACAGCATAACACTTCTGAGGTTCATCCCTGTTGTAGCATGTAACCATACTTACTTCCTTTTTATGGCTGAATAATATTCTATTATATGGATATATAATATTTTGTTTATCTATGCCTCAGCTGATGGACAGTGGAGTTGTTTCCAATTTTTGGCTATTATGAATAAAGCTACTGTGAACATTTGTGTATACACTTTTGTGTAATCATATGTTTTCAATTCTCTCATATATATGCCTAGAAGTGGAACTGCTGGGTCAGATGGTAATTCAATGTATGTTTAATTTTTTTGAGGAAGTGCCAAACTGTTTCCATAGAACCTGTGCCATTTTACATTTCCACCACCAATGTACAGGGGTTCCAATTTCTCTGCATCCTTGCCAACACTTCTCATGGTCCATTTTAAAAATTAAGCCATTCTAGTGGCTGTGAAGTAGTACTCTATCATGGTTTGATTTGCATTTCCCTAATGACTAATGATGTCAAGCATCCTTCTCCATGTGCTTTTTGGGCATTTGTATATCTTTGGAGAAATGTCTATTGAAATAATTTGCCCATTTTTAAACTGGGTTGTCTTTTTATTGTTAAGTTGTAAGAGTTTTTATATTTTCTAGAAACTAGGCTCTTATCAGTCATATGATTTACAAGTATTTTCTCAGTCTTTAGATGTCTTTTTACTTTCTTGATAGTGTCCTTTGACACACGTTTTAAAATTTGATGAAGTCCAATTTACCTATTTTTTTCTTTTGTTGCTTGCGCTTTTGGTGCTGTATCTAAGAAACTATTGCCTAATCGAAGGCCATGCAGATTTTCACCTGTTTCCTTTTAAGAATTTTATAATTTTAGCATTTACATTTAGGTCTTTGATCCAATTTGAGTTAATTTTGTATAAGGTAAGGCTCTGGATTCATTCTTTTGCATGAGTCTATTCAGTTGTCCTGGCACCATTTGTTGAAAGGGCTATTCTTTTCCCACTGAATGGCCTCGGCACCTTTGCTAAAAATCAACTGACCATAAATCACAATGCTCTTGAAAATACCCAGATACAAGTAATATTTCGATTCTAACAGCCAGGTCTTTCATTTTAAGAAACTAAATACCCTCCCAAGTCATTTATCGGGCTTAACAAAAACAATTCCAAGTTTTACTACAAGGATTATGTCATTACTTTCTGAAGAACTAAAGGAATAGTAATTATTTACGTATTCCACTTAGGAAGTTAGTTTCTGCTGCTACCAATGACAGATGAAAAAGATGAAATCCTGTAGGAATAATTAATGTATAATAGCTAGAATCCCTGCCTAACTATAGATGCTATGGAAACATAAGCAATTAGCATTAATACAAAGTGCCACTTTGAGTACTTTATTTATTTAGACACTATCTCATTCAAAGAAGTATTTAAAGCCACTTACAAAATATACATAAGAGATTAAAAATAAGTATGCTAGGATGGAAGGAAAATTATGAATAGGTAGTCACGGGGACTAAAATATACCGTAATATGTTAATGCAGAAAGTAGAGGTTTTAGTAGCTAAGTGGCTAAGTTATCTATCATTGCCTTAAAAAGCTGCATGTCTTGACAAACTGTCAATGTAAACCATATCTGTATTTTTTTTTTTTTTTTTTGAGACAAAGTCTCACTGTGTTCCCCGGGCTAGAGGGCCGTGGCGTCAGCCTAGCTCACAGCAACCTCAAACTCCTGGGCTCAAGCGATCCTCCTGCCTCAGCCTCCCGAGTAGCTGGGACTACAGGCATGTGCTACCATGCCTGGCTAATTTTTTCTATATATATTTTTAGTTGTCCAGCTAATTTCTTTCTATTTTTTTAGTAGAGATGGGGTCTCGCTCTTGCTCAGGCTGGTCTCGAACTCCTGAGCTCAAACAATCCACCCGCCTCAGCCTCCCAGAGTGCTAGGATTACAGGCGTGAGCCACCGCGCCCGGCCCATATCTGTATTTTTTAAATCTGGGAAAAATCAGAGCCTTGAACATCTAGTTTCTTGCTTTGTTCTATTACTGACCTTTAGTTAAGGGCTATTCTTTCGGAAGCCAAGTTTCTTTTTCTTTAGTATAAAAAATATGTTTGGACTTAATTTCTAAGAAACTTCCTTGTTCTATAGTTCTTGAGTCTGTGAGTTAAAAATGCATATCTGTTCCATCAAGAAGGTGCACTCTTGTTTTTAAAAATGTAAATGCAAAGCACTAAAAATAGCTCCATCACATGCAATTAAATCATGTGGAGCCGTCACTTCAGGTCCTTGAATTAGATCACACAAATGTCACTAAGAGGAGCTACTAAGTAAATTCCACATGGATACATCCTATTTCCTGAAATAAGAATGTATGCTGAGGAAATAAGTTCCAGATTAATACAAATAAGTAAATGATACATTTAATTCCTGTCTCACAACCAAGAAGAGAACTGGGTGTTAGATCAGTGACATTGACCAGAAAAAAAGGAAAGTCTCTGGGACTCAGCTAATTAAATTGGACAGATTTTAAATATTAACACCCTGAACTTTAAATCCACTTGTTCCTTTTTTTTTTTCTTTAGCATTTGTTAAGTGTAAAATTAATTTAAGAGGCAGCCACATTTCAATTGCATTTTGGTACACCTTCTGCAAAATTTGCCAAGCTCCAGGGGAATGCTTTGTATTTATAGTAAATGTGCTCAAACCCATATCTCATGGCCAGTCTCGTTCCCCAAACCCAGGAGTGTGAAGCTATAGCAATCTCGGCCTTGGAAACACTCTTCCAGTTAGGGTTTTCACTTTGGATTTTGTTTCCTGGTTTCTTTCAACCACATGAGCAAAAGACTCTGAAGCCCCAGAAAGTAGCAGGACTAGATGAATGCAAATTACACCCCCCTCACTGCCCCCTCCCCCCATTTCCCCTATAATGCTTCTGAAGCCCGGATACTCTGTCACCTACCCACCTTGGTCCCTCTGGAAGTAATTCCTTTTTTCCTACCGGGACTGGGTGGTTCAGACATGGCGGCAGAATGGAGGGCAGCAGGGTTCTTGTCCCACCTCTTCAGTCCAGCCAATGCCTACTATGTGCCATTCCAGGAAGAAGCACCAAGAAAATCCCTGGGTAGCAGGCTACTTCCTCTTTCATTGGTCCTTTGGTTCAATAATGAGACTGTCTTGGGATAGCAGAGGCAGCATGACCAAGGGAGATGAGTTTTACTTTCCTTTGGTAAAGTTTCCCAGTCCCAACAAAGGTTTGTCAACTGCTAGGGCCAAAGTGTGATTTTAATAAAATATATCCTATTACTATTCAATTCAGGTAGAAAAAAAATTTCCTTGCTTACTACATATAACATGCAGCAAGGGATTCAGAAATAGTACTACCTTAAAGTTATGCTTCCTTTACAAGTATTTTCACCAATTATTTATTTCCTATTATGTATTAATATTCCCATTTAACCTACAAGGC